TATACACATTTCTTAAATTATTCCATTCATTCATACTTCTCTGTTGTTTGTCTTTAATCTTAGTCAATTTCTCCCTGGAAATCAATAAAGTATATTCAATTGAATTCAATTCAATTCAATATTCAATTCAATTTAAGGCTACCTGCCACCACCATGGCACTGCTTCTCTTTACTCAGCTTTTTGTGCATTACTGATGCCGTAACTGTTTGCTGTGATTAAATGAATGAAGATAGAAGCCAGAGTACACTGACCTCAAATATACAATCCACCCTTTGGACTCATGGCTGTTTGTCCAGTAACAATGAGTAAAAAATCTCTCATTTACAGACTCTGTATGGAATTTCGGACAGAGTCACATTAAAGTACACCATGTGACCCTTCAGAGAGAAAAAAAAGAAACACTTAATATTAGGAATAAAGTTTAGGTTTGTTCTGTAAAATATCTCTGTTCGAACAGCGTTTTTTTGTCATATGAACTCCTAGTAAATGTTAAAAAGTTCCAAAAAACAGTAAAAAGAACAGTATCTCAAGCCAAGTCAAACTGTCGTTCTGAAGGACTGCTGTTCTGTAGGTTTGAGATGTTTGCCTTCTTCAACAGAATAAAAGGATCTGTTCAAAAGATTGCTAAGTTCGGCACAGGACTGCTGATACTGCATTGATTGAATACGTTGTGTTACGTTGTGTTGTGCAGGGAAACATCTCAAACCTAAATGACAGTGGCCCAAATGCTATAAAGACCAGCAGACATGACGGAAGAAGATCAGAATATCCCATTTTTTCCAACATTTGAAAAATCATTTTTCTGCCTTCATTTTGTAAGCAGTCCATAAAAAAAAAGCTACATGCTAAATAGCCCCAAATATTTTTGACCGCCTAACCAAAGTCCAGGATATTGCCTCTCCTTTAGATCTATAAATGAATATCAGCCATCAGTCACTGTCAAGGCTATCTTTCTCCAGCCCAGACATACGGGCTTGACTAATGTCACTGCATGTTACTGTCCAGCCGTCCCTCCTCCACTCGCACCGACTCACATCAAACAGACCTGACAGGCCACCAGTCACCAACCAAAGGGGCACCACAATGTCACCCTTTTAGATTTTAGGGGGAGGGTGTAGGGAGGGAAGTCAGGACTTGTTGAGGGGACACAATAAGCTCCCAGCACCCTGCTCTTTGTTTTTTCTGTTGACTGACAGCTGGGGCATAATCGATTGGCAGTAAAGAGGACATAGCTTTGCAAATCCTGTGAGTGCTATGGAGCTAAATTTAAGCTTTAGTCACATGTATCAGTGGTTTTATCGAAATGATGCACGTACCTGTATTTGTTTGAAATTAGGATAAAATAAGACCCCTGGTTTCTAAAAATGTGTTGATATTGTTGTTGCCTTGGTCAGGATAAATAACATCATGGACTGCATTTTGCACAAACTAACAATAATATTGAAACGTGCCCATTTTTATCATGAAACACAATGCTTTTACTATTTTTCTATTGTTTTCACTCGTTCTAATTTGTGATTTTTTTGCACAGTAAAATTGAAATTATGTTTGACAAATGTAGTTAATATTTCCATAAAATCTAAATATGTATTCTCCGTCACAAAGCTAAACTAATATTAATCAGAAACTAATAAAATATGAGGATATTTATTTTAGAAATAAAACAGATTCAGTTCCTAAACCCAGAAATCATTCAGTGCATTCAAGATGAGATTTACAAAGAGGAAGTGGAAAGTCTTAAAAAAGGAATATATATTTGTTTGTGCATTTCAGTTGGAAAACTTGACCCGTTCCTTGATAGTAGTTTGTTAAAGGTCAGAGATGCTTAGAATCAGCAGATCTTTCAGATATAGGAAACACCTTTTGATAATTCTAGGTACGGTACTCATCATGTAGTTGTTCTTTTAGTTAGGCATTACCACAACCAAGCAGCTCATCATGCTGCTGATTCATCATAGGCATCGCTCAGCAGGACTATGGGTTGTTGAAGGCAAGATACTCATTGTTAGCACACTACATAAATGTGTTACATGTAAACATTTTGAAGCCATTTAGAAATGGCCAGCTTACCCTGTTGACAGACTTCACTCATGCAGCCTTGGACATCTTTGTGCCTTGGAATGTCACATCCCGCCACACAAGAGCAAATAGCATTGTCAGTCAAAGATGTGTGGTAATGTTTCCCTGTTTGAGTTCCAGGGCAGTACACATAGAGCTCAGAGTGGCAGACGGTCAGACACCTACGGTCAGACCAAGGCACAAACTTCATTGGCACCTGTAAAGAGTTGTAAATGAACATTCAAGAGCCTGTGGTCAAAGACAGTTTGTAGGACTACAGCTTCAGCTGGACATTTAATGCCCCGCATGTACTTCACATAGCAGAAGCGTGGGAGATAATGATTGCACTTTGATTGCTTGCAAATAAAAACTGTGTTGATCGACCTTACAGCTCAGGTCATGACCATAATAAACGCTCAGCCTCTACTTCTTGTTTCTACCAATCCTGAAAAAGTGACTTAAAGAGGAATCCAATGTACAAACTCAGGTTATCTCAAGAGACTGAAATTCACACAAAAGTCTCTCGCAGCTCCCGCTCTGCACCTACCAGGTTGGTTCCGTTGTCGGAGCGAATAAGCTTGACCTGCCCTCTGCGAGCCATGAATCTGTGCAATGCATGAATACAGGAGCTTGTATCCAAAGAACTTCCTAGCTCAATATGTACAGTCGCATTTTAAGCAATAAAGTTTTTGCCCTTTGTTTGACCGAGCAAAAATGATTCCATACAGATGCATTTGCCTATCTGTATCAAAACTTTCACTTAAAAAAATAGTGGGTGAGGTATTGGTGCATCATCAACAAAAAGGTTGTCAAATGTTGGATAAATATAGATTATTCAGAATATACAATAGAGACTATGTGCCTGTTGCAGGAAGGTTACAGCCTTACTGGGAACAATGATCTGACCAGCATCTTACCAGTGATAACCAATTTGTATTCTCAATCTTAAAATCCCAAAAGCCTGTTTTTATGTGTTTCAATGTATTCATATTCAATACCTCTAAGACTTGTATGTTCTACGGTGGAAACAATGATCTTTTAAAACTGTGAATGCTTTATAAAATATTGTGATTGGCCGCCTTTGAAGTTGGAGGTGCAATTTTTAAAGAGGGGGAACACAGTACAACACAAATTATAGTTATGTTCATATTCACTGCCTTTAGCAGCCTCACATAGCAAGTTCAACCTCATCTACTTACGAGACATGTCTGGAAAATGTTTTATCATGATTAATAATAAAAAAAACCCTTATGCATAAAACATATACGCACAGTTATATGTCAAACCTTTTCCAGAAACACAGTAAACTTTGGCCAATGCTTTGCTTCATGATATTGAGCCAGAGTTTTTTATCACATATTAAGTCGCATTGCTATTAAACTAAATAGTGATTCAGAATTATGAAATTATAAAGTAACGGATATATGAATATTCTATTTATGCTTACATTAAATAAGTCTCACTCTCTACTTTTTGCAGGGCAGAAAGCTAATTAAATATTGAATTTATACAGATGCATTCATTTTGCCGATGTTATATTAGCATTTTGACATATTTGAAAAATGTATCGATTATAATCCAGTTCTGACAATATTTTCTCAAAAAATATATAAATACAGTGTATTTTTGAAAAACATTTTACTTATATTTTTTCAATATTACATAAATAAGCATATTTTATGTTTTTTATTGAGATATCTCTCCAGAAAGACTTTGAGAAATACTGTAACTTACTTACCGTATGCTCATTCAACTTTGCCTAAAGACACCAACAATGTGTATATTCCCGCATTAATCCTACTCACCCACAGTCTCCCTCTGGACACCTGAGGACTAAGTGGCAGAGGCGTATCAGATAAACTTTGGTTCACTTGGGGCATATGACTGACAGCAGCATTTTATTTAGCTAAATTGTTATTGATTGTTACTTAATATTGTTTGGGGGCACAGTCAGACCTACAGAAAAAAGGCTTGAATGAAAGGACCTGTGGGGCATCATGGAGGGAGGTGGCAGGTGCTCAGGCCCTCCTCAGTACGTAGCTGATGATTCTGAATAAGACTTTACGTCCTGCTAGTGCTTTTATCTGCCTAAACTACTGGCAGATACAAAATGCAGCGCATAGTCAGCTGTCAGTGTCTGTAATCTTTTCTGTCCTCAGTGGTAAACTTGGTCTTGTGGTCTTGCACCTCGTTGACATCAGTCCTAAAATAAATGGCACGTCAGCAGCACACCGCTAAAGCAGCACGCTGTCTTCTTTGACTATTGACTTAGAACTCACTGCTGAGAATACCAAGAATGTTGTCAAAATCAGTGGAATAACACCAAGGTAAGAATGTCTTTGGAAAAGTACCCTGCCTTTCTAGCCAATGCAAATGCCCTGAAATCACTGCCTAAAGGGAGATAAAGTCATTTAACTCCTGCTTCTAAACACATTTCAGTAATTTTGTCGCATATGTCAATTATACTATTAAACTTGAGTCTTTTTTATCTATCTTTGCTTAATGTTATTTATCAGTAAAACTAAAATTTCCAAATGTATGTTGCAGACTGCACAATAAAGCCAATTAATGACAACATATTACATATCTTAGCCTATTTTTTGTCAATTTAAATGAAAATGGAAGACAAAAAACTAATGATATGTAAACAAAGTTTCCAGAACAATCGTGATCATATTGGGAAATTTCATTTGTATGATATTTGAACAAACATCACTGCTGAATAGTACACATACATTTTTCCCAAATAAAGGATTTCTTTATTATAATGTTTCATACATGTAATTTGACCTGTTCTTGAATAGTAAGGGAAAGCGAGTACTGTCTTCCTGTTTGTTTTTTGTTGTTTTTTTTGTCAGGCTCTGATGTGACTTCTCTCTTTCTCTCACTCTCTGTCCCTCTCAATATTGATTGAATGTGTTTTATTAATGAATGTAAACAGATGCTGATCGAGCCCAAAAACATGGGATGGATGAATTTATTTCAGCGAACCCTTGCAACTTCGAGCATTCCTCATTGTTTGAACTGCTGCAACGCCTTACCCTGGATCACAGGCTCAATGATTCCTACTCTTGCTTGGTAAGAAAAGATAACTAATGGTGTTGCACTTAGTTTTGCAAATGGAATATGTATTTTATTTAATAAATAACTTTAAATTAAGGTTTAAACCTGCCTGATGTAATCTCTAAAAACTAAGGGAAAATGTAATGACGGTAAATACTCAGCAATGAGACATAAACCTAAATTAATGACATTTTTATTCAATCAAACTTTAATAATAATATTGATTGTTATATATACAATACAGCATGTATAAACACACACACACAATGTAATGGTATTATAAGTAATCAGTGAGAAAAAACGTGACAAGCGATTTCACATATTAGTTGCTAACTGAATTTAATTCAGTTCAGGTAAGTGATATTTTGATGATTAATTAAGTTTAATTAAACAGAATTTCCTCTATACAATTTCATACCAAAGTAAATAAGAATCTAAGGAATTCAATGGAGAGTGAATTACATTAGATTTGTTGCACAGGCTACGTTCAAACTACTGCCTAAAGTCAGCCAAATGTGACATGTAAGCGACTGTGCTCCTTATCTGCAGTCCCAAGTCTTTAGTTTCCTTTTTATTTGGTGCACAGGCTCTTTTTTATTCTTTGGCATTGCAGCCAGGAATGTTTATACCCATGCTCGGCCATTTGTTGGGAAAGGGTAGCTAAAATCACCCAGTCGTGATAAGACCCTGGAGTTTGGCCTGGATAGAGCTTTATACCCTCAAATACTTATTAAATCAGAAACCTTGCCGATAACCTTCTTCCCACTGATTTTCGCATTGTTGTCTGCCATGGTTGTGGTTTTTCTTTCATGTAGTAGGAAGCTGAGAAGTGATATTTGTCAAGATTCAGTGATGGGCAGGTTGGATGAGATCAACCTGGTTTTAAAGACACAGGTCATATTTGAAAAGATTGTATCAGATTTAGGACCACATATACATGTGGCCTGAAAGAAATCTGCTCCGTTTTGTTCACACTGTCATGGAAAGACTCAATACAAGGTTGTATTGAGCAAAAAAAAAAGATTTGGGTCCCTTCAGGCAGTATGAACATAGTCAAATTTGCACATGACGTTACATAATGGTAAACATAAGAAGGACAGCTTTCTTCCTTGATCAAGTTGATTGAGATGACAACAAAAATGGCAGTTAGTGATGAACAGTGAGACAGTCAGACAGTGAATACCATAACAATGGAAATGTATTACTTGCTGTCCATTGGTTAGGATGAGTTTAACAGTCAGTTCTACAGACTAATGGACATATAAATGACATTAGAGGGAATATTACAAAAATATTCCCATCTATAAAACTAGGGGTAAAGTCATGTTTTATTTTAAAACAAACAAATAAGGAATTACTAATAAGTTATTAAACTGACAGAGTAATGTACTTACAATATTGCTCTTTAAATATTTTCTTAAATCTGTTTTTTTTTAATGAAATCTGTTTTAAATCACTTTTTTTAAACAAGTAAATGTAGAAACAAGCCGGGTCTTCCAACTGATTACCCTCTTTTTCAGGTGTTACATTAAAAAGCATTGCATGTAAAGTAATACATCTGGCAGTAAGATATTCAAGTTCTTTAGGAATAAAGTTACAACTAGAACCTAAAGTAGAAGATAACTGGATTTGAAGGTAGTTGCAAATCCTCCTCCTTGGCCTGGCAACCATCATTGTACTATTTAAGAACAATGATTCAGGTGTGATAATAATTATTCAGTAAGGCAAACCGGATTCTACAAAATATGGTTGTAAGGTGATTTATTAACAGACAATTATACAAAACCACTGTTAAAGGACTGAAGAAGAGATGAAAAATGGAATTGACTGAATGAACTCCTTTCCCCACAGGGCTGGTTCAGTCCCGGTCAGGTGTTTGTCTTGGATGAGTACTGTGCTCGCTACGGTGTTCGGGGCTGCCACCGGCATCTGTGCTACCTGGCCGATCTGCTGGAGAGAGCTGAGAACGGAGCCATGATTGACCCTACGCTCCTTCACTACAGCTTTGCTTTCTGCGCCTCACATGTCCTCGGAAATAGGTAAAAATCAAACAGACTTTAGGTCGGGATAAAAGTCTATCCGAAATGATTGAAATCATTTAAATTGATGTTGAACAAGATGAATCAACAGTCACTACTCATATTTTTGTCTTCTTGAATTATCACTTTAACTAAATTACAAAATTTCACCCAGTGCACACTCTCCCTGCACTTCCACACACCCACACATGTCTGTAGGACTTGAAACGTTCACTTAAAACTTTGGAAATCTTAGAAATCCAATTATATCATTGATATGATGTGATAGTAATCATTTTTTTATCCAAGGCTTTTCAAACTGAATTAAAAATGAATAGTCCATTTTGATAAAAGTGATAAAAAGTAAGTTTTTGTTCTAAACTTGCAAGTTGTGAATAGGAGAAAGAATATTTCACCCTGTAGAAAAATATTGATTTTTTTTCCTGTTCCTATGCATGAGCTTGTGGGGAAAAAAGTTTATCCTCATGAGAGCTTCCGTCATAAGCATTACCCTTATAGCACCTAACGACCTATTTCTATTTAATAAATGTTGTGTCTTATATGTTATTTTCAACAAAAGTTATAGAAATTGTGTACTAGCGTATTTTCATTTTTTGTTGTTATTCCTATTGTTATATCTTTCAGCACGCACCGTCTCATGTTGTTTTCATGTGAAAGGCTCATGGGAACATAACTTTTTTAAATCAATGAATAACTCAACTGAAATAGGCCTTAATTGTTTTAGTGTAATGTTCAGGAAGATAACTACAGATAACCTTCTAAGAAAGAAGTTTCTGTTTTGAAAATGGTTGATGTATTCAATCAATTTGAATTCCAATATATATATCATAATCATTATTATTACTCAAGAGTATTTAATTAATTAATAAAGGGGACTTAAGAAAAGATTTTTTGACCCATTAATAGACAATTTTGCTTAGTTGGTTAATATAGTACACAAATTTCAGTATAAAAATTCAACTTAAAGGCAATTAAATCCTGACGTCTTTAAACATTTTAATCTTTTTAGATCAATAATACATCTTAAGCGCACAGATTCTTTTAGTGTACTTTTCATATTCAAATGAATGAAAATGAACCTAGCTGTTTTAGGAATCCCTCAGGTAAATCACATGTATAGTGCGCTCTTTTCATATAGGGATGTATTCCTTATCCAAACAATAAGAACTGGATAGAATAAAATGAACATAAAACATTTAAAGCTGAATATTATTTGATACTTACTTATATCACATTGAAATAGATTGTAAATAAACTAAGTTGTTGTGGAATGTTATGGCATTCCCTGTTCTTTGGACGCCTCAGTCAGACTGACATACAGGGAACTTCTCCTAAACATTATGCCATCATAACATTGATAGAAATTCAGTAAAGAGACAAGACAAGCCAAACAGAATCTCCTGTAGATAGCAAAGTGCTTTGTTGTTGTTTTAGTAGCGGTGTATGATCTCTAATAGGGCAAACCAGCTTCTGCTCTCCATAATGTCCGGGACTACCGTCTTTAACTCTGGTTTTTATTCAGGCATGAAGAAAATGTGCATTGTTAAAAGTCTTTGTCCTAGTGGATCTTCAGCAGCCATGTGGAACTGACACAGATAACTCAAGAAAAAATATGTCTGATGGAAGTAATGGGAGCAGTACATGGGGTTATGGGAGCAGTGGCGGTGCTGTTGGGTCTCACCCACTCCTTCTTGACCATTGTTCTACACACATGCTTTATCGATATCTTGTGATTCTCTTTTCATTTCTGTCAGTTTTCTTTGGACTGCAACAGATATTTGTTAAACTCAACCCATTTTTCCTGGTTTAAAGATATTGTCGGGGATGCTGGCACTTGGAATATTTTTGTTCAAGGTTCACAAAAGGTCATTTTTTGTGATTACTCAAATCAATCAAATACATTATAATACATCTTGAAATAAAGTCAAATTTGGAGTTAGTTTATACCAATGCAATATCACAGATGCGATCATAGCACAATTTTCTGGGTTTTCTTTGATCTATGACCCAGATATCATTGGAGTACTCCTCCTGCAGTGTTTTACTTACACTGAAGTTTACTTTCAAATGGCAAAACTAAGGGATGAGCTTAGAGGGTAATTTCAATGCATTTTCACATGCCTATCACATACTGTATGTTAGGATCCTGTATGAAAACTATAATAGTTAGATTTCTGAAATCTTAAAAAAAAAAAAATCACAAATAATGAAGTAGTAGTGACAGTAAATCCTCTTTGGAATAATTATATTCTGATTGCATGAGTCTAATCTCTTTTAGTTTTTGTGTTAAAAAGATATATGTATAAATATTCAATGTAAGAAGAATTAAGATAAGAAAAATTCCTATCAATATCAACCATTCTCACTTGATAAGAATAAAATCCAAAAATAATACTCAAGTCCACAGCAACAGGCATCACACAGAGGCCTCCCTGCCTGGAAGTTATGACATGACAGGTTGACAGGTTGTCATCATGTGACGGGCCAGTATCTCTGCTGCCAACTCTGCTGCATGTTCCTCTGTGCACACACCTCATCCAAATCACCACCACTGCTCACCCCCCACCCCCCACCCACACAAAGATTCACATAAAACACAAACACTACAAGCCTGGGTCAGGGTTTGCAGCTGAGAAGTGCTAATGCATCAGGCGGGACTTTCTGCCCAGTGGCCTGCTTTATTTGCCTCTAGTTTGGAATACAGCGTATTATTGGATATTATATATATTCTTGATTTTTTTTATTAATAAATTAATAAAATGCATTGTTGAAATGAAAGAAATATATCAAATGGACACCAGCATTATGGTATAAGTGTAATTGCTTTTTTCATTTTTATTTTGACTATTAACATTAACATACTTCAATTCCTGCTAACTAAAGTGAATATGAAAAATAAAGGAGCAGGAAAAAAGTGAAGACCGTTTTCCCGTTTTAGAATGTACCATTGTTGGACAGCCTGAAGAATACTATATTATATTTACCAAACTAAAGCACATTCATTTATCAAGCATATTATATTTTGTGTTGAATGTTTTTATATATTTGATTTCTGAATGTTTTTAGAATATATTTTATAAATGAATATTTACTTGATAGCATTAAAAATGGCGACCTTAAAGTCATTACAGGCAGAAGCAGCTAGCTCTGTGCTCATCTGCTCTTGGTTGAACTTTTTTAATCTACCGTGCATCTGCATCATGGAATCAAAAGTTCTTAAGGTCCTTTCACTTCTGTATCCTTTAGATGGCAGACTTGCTTCTGTTAAATATTTTCATGTACATAAATCAGTCAAACTTATATACGGCCAATAGCAGCACAATCCAACAATAAGCTCTAAACATGACAACTGAAAAGAAGTTCATAACATCTGAAATTCAACACTTTGTTTAAATTTACATTAAAAATGTAATTGCATAGCATTACATTTAAGTGGAAAATAAAAAAAAGAAAGATAGAGGTGGTAATTTACAACTGGAACATCCATATACCATTCATCTTGTGCAAATGTCTTGTATAAAACTAAGAGACAAACCTTTATAAAAAGAACTTGGTTTCCATTTGCCACTGATGGCTCATTTGCTTGTTGTCATCACAGAAACTATGAGGTCAGCAGGTCAAGCAAACATGAGGAGGCTGCCAGGCAGCAACATGCTCCTGCAAGAAGAGAAAAGCAAACAAACAATCCCGCAGGATATAGTGACCATGAAAATTCCCTCTAATTTTCTAATTTGATTACCCTTTTCCTCTGTGTCTCGTCGTCTTTACCCTAGTTATCAGTCCAATTGCTGTGTTACTAACCAGCGTGTGGTAAAATGTGAAAATACATTTTAAAAATATATTTGTTGATACTTTCTGTCTTTATGGACCTTTTTTATTTTCTTTATATGATTTAGCAACTTATTACGATTTTGGTTGATTTTTGTACTTTAATAAAACTTTAATACTTCAATAATATATAAGTTAGAATCTGATGTCTAATAAATCTTACAATTTAAAATTCTTTGAGATATATTTTCATTTTAAAATCAAATGCTCTATTCCTCTATAGCAATATGATTTAAAAAAGCAGAAACCTGGAGATTGTGGCAACACAGTGACGGTGACCAAAGATTTTTTAAATCACACTCAGCCCTTTTACAAAAAACATGGACACTCCCAAAGCAAACCCAATTTCTTATTGTCCACATAAATAATATGTTAGGGGTGGGGGTGGAGTGGGGTGGGAGGCTGTCATAGCCAATGCTTCTTCTGTCACATGCACTTTGGTCAGACCAGACTCAAATCCAACCATGTCACAAATGATAAACACATAAGATACACACACAAACACATTACAATACTGTATAGAATTCTTATTATTGTGTTTTACTTTTCCAGCGACCCCTCTGGGAATAAGCAGAATAGATAATGGATGGATGGATGAGTGTTTTATTTTGTGCAGTTTTAATTGTGTATGTGCGCCGTATTTTATTCATTCTTAGAGCCCAGAAAATGAGATGACTAAAGAAACAAAATACAAAATTTGAGGGAGCTGAACGTAATGATTTTTTATAAATTGATTTGGTCAAAGGCACTGGATTATATAAATGTGAAATGCTCTCATGAATCTAGGTTTCTGGCCATGGATAATTTGAAACTCCTGCCCTGTTTTGCCCTTAAAATTAAGATAGACTGCATATTTAGCTACTAAAATACATTGAATAACAATATGAATAATAAGAAGGTTATTGAATTCTTGAAACCTTGAATTCTGTAAAGACTTTTATTTGAATTAGTAAAATGTTAAATGTTATAAAAAATGATTAAAAGGGCAGTGGGCAAAGGCCCACAAGCCAGTTTGTGGATCCTCAGCGCCTTAAACTTTGCTTTCGGGCCTGAAACGCCACATCAAAAGGCAAAGAATGAGTCTAAGCGGTTGCGCCCAACTTGGAACAAGGGTGAACTGGGAAAGTCTGGAAAAATGAATTCTCATCCAGAAAAAGGCTGGGGACATAGAATCTAAACAGGCCATGTTTGGAATTTCTTTTGTTGATGGAGAAAGGACTGTCATGAGGCCTCAAGCTGTGAGAAACCATTGGACGACTTAGGCAGGTAAGGCAGGGACCTTCTGAGGTTGAGCTTGACTTGTTTGTAGTGTTTATTTGGCTTTGTATGAAAAAAGTAAAAAGACATTTTTGAATATTGATCATTTATTACCATGTGATGTCAAAATAATTGCATCGTAGCCTTCTGCGTCCTATAATCAGGTATATCTAATTGTTTACAACAAGGTTTTAAGCGAAGTTTTTATTATAGGGTTAAGAGCGAGGGGAGAGCGCAGTTTTTCTTGGTTGGAGGAACAGAGATGCAGAAAATTTTGTAATGGAAGAAACAATGGAACTCCCCTTTTCTTTATGTATTAACATCGTCACCTTGTAGCAAGAGAGTTCCTGGTTCAAGTGCCCTGTCCAATGGGAATCCTGCCTCTTCCTGTCGTCAGCCGGGATAGGTTTGAAATGTGCTAACACCCTGAAGTGTTGGCCAACCATGGAATATTGATCTAATTGCTGTTTATCTACAATTGCAGATGGCAATACAAACAACCCATTACAGAAAGTAATTTGTCAATTTTAATGCGGTGATAAATAAAACAGGAAATGTTGCATTATTTTGCATGTATTGTGCTGATCAAACGCAGTGTTATGAATCTTTGAACCCACAGTGGACTCAGGATGTGATGGTTACATATAACATGTGGGTCATATTTTGTTGCTCACATAAACTCATACCTGTGCAAATGTAATCTGATCTTTGCATAAAATAACAATTTGTGAGCATATGAAGGATTCTGCTGTGAAAATCATCAGAGAATATATTTCTGTGTTTATTGATATGAAAAAAGTTGAATTTATTTTGCTGTTTGTAATGTGTGTTTGTGTAACATTTTAATACATGTGTAAAGTACCTGGTATTTCTATATCATGCCCATTTATATTAATTGTGATACATATATAATTTGATGATACATTTTTCCCCTTGTCTTTCAGACCTGATGGTATTGGTACAGTAACTGTAGAGGAGAAGGAGCGCTTTCAGGAAATCAAGGAGAGGCTACGGGTGCTGCTTGAAAACCAGATTACACACTTCAGGTAGGAACTAGTCGCACACTATTAAATTCCCTCCAAATTTGACCGCAAAGCATTAAAGTGACGTTTATTTTGTTTTTTCAGGTACTGTTTTCCTTTTGGACGACCAGAGGGGGCATTGAAAGCAACTCTATCTTTGCTTGAAAGAGTAAGTTAAATTAGATCAATTACATCCATCCATTATTGTAACCATTTATTCCCTGATGGCGTTGTGGGAGGACTGGAGCCTTTCCCAGTAGTCAATGGGTGAGACATGGGGGACACCCTGGATGGTCCGCCAGTCCATCCCAAGGCCACACAGACATACAAGGACCAACACACTCACACTCACTGCTACGGGCAAGTTGGACAGTGGGAGGGAGCCAGAAAGAACCCACGCAGACACAGGGAGAACATGCAAACTCAACCCCGGGACTTGAACCCAGAACCCTCTTGCTGTGAAGCCATCGTGCTAACCACCACACCACCGTGCCGCACTTGATTATAAACCACCAAGTCATCTCATGGCACTTACAGTCAATATCTAATTGAAGTAACTATGAATGAGAATAATACAAATCACAATTATAATAACATGCAGACCAGAGCAAATTGGGAAGCTTTCCTAAATTTCACTCAATTGCAAAATTCACCCATTTTGAATGCCAGTGTTACACACTTGAGTCCAGGGAACCCATACACAACAAAAAGCCCCCCTGTTTTAAATGGACACCCACTCCATTCACTATGCAATGCATCTCCCTTTAAGTGCAAACATACAATGGTGCAAATTCTGAATATTAGCTTTACCACCATAGTCCTAAAAACACAAATACCTTCTGGGCTTGTATTTGAATACCATAGTTTAAGAGGTGTTATTGTTGTAGTCCTTGATTTTATATCCTCGCCACCAGTGAAATTACTGAGTAGTGTATCAATAAAATCCTATCTACACCAGTAGAACAGTTAAGGCAATATTACTGAAATTCAGTTAACTGGAATTTACAAGGTGCACACATGTAAAATGCCAATATCATACTTTTAAACCTGGGGAAACTCTACATAAAAAGGTCCCTGGTAATATGGACGCCCACTCTATTCACAATGTAAGTCTAGCTACATTGAATTTAATTACATATCGATCCAATTCATATAGAGACTCCGGTCAGCAATGGACTGTGGTCTAGCAGTGCCATCACCACGCTTAAGACAATCCAGACTGTTTGCATGTGTCGTTCCAAGATGATGGAACCACCTACCAAGCGCCACAAGAACAGCAAGTCCCTGTTTGTCTTCAAGAAACTCTTGAAGACCCCCCTCTTCAAAGAGCATCTCCTATCCTAATCCTAAACCGTACCAATACCCCCCCCACAACTCCTTCTGTGATCCCCTCTACCTCTATCTCTTGCTGTCACCACTTACTCTAATCAGGGTTTCTCCTCTGGATAGCTTATTGTCATAGTGATGAGAAATGTAATATTGTGTCTACTCTGTAAGTCGCTTTGGATAAAAGCATCTGCCAAATGCATAAACATAAAAAACATAAACATAGAGACAATTATAACAAAAGTCTCCCAAACCAAAAAATTGCAACAAATCTTCACTTTGAAAAAATTGAATTGAATTGAATTGAAAGCCTTTATTGTCATTGTACACAGTACAATGAGATTTGGAGAGCAGCTCCGTAAAAGTGGACACATAATTAACACATCCATTTACAATACATTAGTGCAACTGGAGTACTAGTACTAGTACTAGTCTGGATGTTGATCGAGTAAGGTGACAGTTTTGGGGAAGAAGCTATCCCTGAGTCAGTTTTGGTCCGTATTGACCTGAAGCGCCTGCCTGAGGGCAACAGGTTGAAGAGATGGAAGCCGGGGTGGGTGGTGTCCCTCAGGAGGTATCTGGCCCTGCTGAGACAACGGGAATTATAGATGGCAGTCAAAGAGGGCAGAGGGCAGCCGATAATTTTTTCTGCAGTGTTTGTCGCTTCCTATCAGCCTCCGTGCAGCTGGAGTGCCACACTGTCACAGCGTAGGTCAGCAGGCTCTCGATGGTGGAGCGGTAGAGGGTCACCAGCAGCTGAGGTTTTAGTTGTTCCCTCCTGATCACCCTCAGGAAGTGGAGCCACTGCTGGGCCTTCATGACCAGAGCTGTGGTGTTGCCTGACCAGGAGAGGTCTGCAGAGATGTGGATGCCGAGGAATTTGTAGGACTCCACTCGTTCTACACATCCACCGTTGATGTACAGGGGGGCAGGGGCGGCTTTCTTCCGTCTGAAGTCCAGGATGAGTTCCTTAGTCTTGTTGATGTTTAGTGCCAGGTTGTTTGATACACACCACTCGCCAAGTTTCAGGACCTCATCTCTGTAGGCCGCCTCGTTTCCCCCTGTAATCAGCCCCACCACCGTTGTGTAATTAGCAAACTTGATGATGATGTTCTCTGGGTGGGCGGGACTGCAGTCGGATGTGTAGAGGGAATAGAGTAGTGGGCTCAGCACGCAGCCCTGTGGAGAGCCAGTGCTGAGAGTGCGGGAAGAAGAGAGGTGAGGACCCAGTTTCACCTGCTGGGGTCGGTTGACCAAAAAGTTCTTTATCCAGGAGCAGGTGGGTGGTGGGACCCCCAGGTCGGTTAGCTTAGGGATCAGAATGTCCGGTATTATTGTATTAAAAGCAGAGCTAAAGTCAATGAAAAGCATCCTGACGTAGCTCTCCCGTTGCTCCAGGTGACTCAGCGCTGAGTGGAGAGCGATGGCTATGGCGTCTTCGGTGGATCTGTTAGTCCGGTATGCAGACTGGTGCGGATCCGGGGTGGGGGGGAGACAGGCTTTGATGTGTCTCAAAACCAGTTTCCACAGTGACATTCCCAAACAGTACTTGATGTAGGACAGTACTGCATCTGTGAATATTTCCAGGTCTTCGTGGTAGAAGGCTTCCCACTGTGTGTTATCGAAGCAGTCCTGTAGTCGGGGGAGGGCATCCTCGGGCCAGGTGGTGATAGTCTTCTTTGTGGGCTTTGTTTGTCGACTGAGGGGGGTGTATGCTGGAGCAAGGAGCAGGGAGAGGTGGTCTGACCGGCCCAGGTGGGGAAGGGGTACAGCTCTGTACGCATGCTTGATGTTGGAATACACATGATCCAGAGTGTTTTCCCCTCTTGTAGGGCATTTTACATATTGGTGGAATTTTGGTAATACAGTCTTGAGATTTGCCTTATTGAAGTCCCCTGCAATGATGTGGACTCCACTGGGGTGGGCGCGCTGGTGGGTATTGATGGCATTTAGCAGTAGAGAGAGAGCCATGTTTACGTTAGCATCTGGTGGTATGTAGACTGCAGTGATGACAACAGCAGCTAGCTCTCTAGGCAGAAAGAAGGGGCTGCATCTCAGCAACATGAACTCCAGGTCAGGAGAACAGTGTCTGTCCAAGATAGTGCTGTTGTTACACCAGCCTTCATGCACGTAGATGCAGAGCCCGCCTCCTCTGTTCTTCCCGGAGTCACTGTTCCTGTCCCATCTGTGTAGCATGTGGTCTACTAGTCGCACCGTGGCATCAGGGATTTGTGTGTGTAGCCATGTCTCTGTGATGATGGTCTTGTATCTCCCTCTTGCAGAGGAAGGACAAGGACTTGTATACATTATGTCCACGGCAGCCTTCAGACTGCAGATGGCACAGAGGCTGCTACAGTCGCTGCTGGTTAGCTCCTGCTCGGCTGCTGCTCAGGGACGTTGGCCGGCTTGGGCTGGATAAGCAGGAGCCACTGTTTAATAACAACTTTCTTAGAAACGGCACATTGTCCTCCTCCACTTCGAGAACTAAATTTGTTGAGGCCGGCATTACTAAAGTGTGCCACCTAGCGATAACATCCATGGACACACTCTGTGACGTCACAAACATCAGGTCCTCCAGACTGGTGAGTAGGATTGTGGAGGACGTCTGGCAGTCCCTGTCTGAACCACTGAGAGGGTTTGCTTGGAATCCTGCTGGCCAGTGGAAGGGTGATGGCTTGTATGTTTTTCCGTCTCTGAGCGTCTGTCCACTTGCTGAAGATTGGCAGGAGGAAGGTGGCTTTCTTCTCACATGGAAATCACCAGTGCTGGGCACTTTGAGCCCCTGTGGGAAGAAGCAGCTGTACTACAGCTGTGTGAAAGTGCCGAACCTTCACTCTGGCTGTAGTGAATCTAAATGGTGTGAGGTGTTTGCATCAGACATTACCCCCAAAGGCAGGTAGAGGGGCCTGAATAAACCCCCTGTTGAGAAAAGGATGGCGGACCTTCAGTGGAGAATGATTCATGGATCAATAGCCATGAAAAGACACAGAGCTCACCTGGATCAAGGCACTGGGGAGGGCTGCCCATTCTGCACCCAAAGTGAGACACTGGAGCACTTAGTGGTGGGTTGTCATCGGCTAGCTGGTCTTTTTAGAATTTTAAAGGAATGGGTGGAAGCTTTGGGAGACGTTTTTCTCTGTCCCTTTGTTTGTTTTTGGACTCACACATTTAGTGAGGAGAAAACTGACATTGGTTTTACTCAATTTTTGATTTGCGTAGTTAAATGGCAATTTGAAAGACGAGGAAGCATCAGATGTTGGGTCAGGGCTGGACGGATGTGGTGCGGTGCTTGAAAGGTCTGGTTACAGCTCGTCAAGTGGAGCACACATATTACACACTGACAAGCAATCTGGAGACTTTCATGGCTCGGTGGGGGATAAGACGTGTCTTATGTTCACTAGAGGAAGATCGCTCCCTAGTTCTTAATGTTTGATCTATTTGTGTGTGTGTATGTCTGTGTGCAATCTGTAGCAGCGTAACTGTGGGATGTTTCAGGATCACCTGAGCCTTTCCTTACTAAGCGTAAAAGAAACGTTTCTTGAACCAAAGAGAGGGCCATTGTAACACTCTGCATCCCATTCCACTTTTAGAGAGTAGACCTGAGAGCAAAGTGCTTTGCTTGGAAAATATCTAACGATATGCTCTTTAGGAAATGATCAGTGGTGGAGAAAGTACTCATACAATGTACTTAAGTAAAAGTACAAATACACAGACATAAATGTACTCAAGTAAAAGTCAAAGTACCACATTATTATTTTACATAAGTAAAAGTAAGAAAGTACAAGCTTTTAAAACTACTTAAGTATTAAAAGTAAAAGTACTTGCCAACCATAATACCTAACGGCTTATATAATGTCATTAAGTGTACCTATCGTATTTAGTTTTAATAAGTCAGTAATGTACCATTTTAATGAGCAATGCTGCAGATAAAGCATGTTTTTATTGTGTTTACCCCCTGTGACAGTTTAGATTTAGATATTTTATTCTATGCATCAGAATTCCAGGGATGACCTTCTAATTTATTGAATATGACTGTAACTGTTACATGGAGATTATTTTAATGGCGCTAACATTTATATAATAACCAGGACGTGAAGGAGTTTAGCGTCAACTTAGATGTAACATTCATGGCTGGAGACGTGATCACGACCGCAGTAATCACTGTTACTTGGAAGTTCATGCTAGCTTATAACAATATACAGTAGCCTAATCGTATTTATTTACTGCAGTCGAGTTCAACAAAAAGCTTGCTAAGATTACATAAAACTTTTTTAAATAAGGCCATGGGTGGGGCAGGTCTTCTGGAGGATGACTATCCTTGGACTCCATTCTGGGAGTTAATGATTCGGCAGGTCCTGCACTACTGTGCTGCTCTTCTTGAGGGAGGGTCTAATGGTTATTTCCCGCTTTGGATTGGTTCAGCGGACTGATTCTGCTCTCGCCATTGGATACTTTCAAACTAACGAACAAATAAAAAAAAAAACGAAATGCGTCTTGGATGTAACGAGTAACGACGCGCTGTATAGAAATGTAGTGAAGTAGAAAGTACAGATACTTACTGTTAAATGTAGTGGAGTAAAAGTAGAAAGTATCCATTATTAAATCTACTTAAGTAAAGTACAGATACACGGAAATTGTACTTAAGTACAGTAACGAAGTACTTGTACTTCGTTACTTCCCACCACTGGAAATGATGGAGTCTGATTATTAAGAGTTTTATTGTGACACTGGGAAACATATCATGTAGTATACATGCTACGTTTCGAATGTCTTCAACTACTGAATGTACTAAAGTGCACTAAATGTACTAAATGATACAAATTTTCTGCAAAAAAATAAGTATTAAAAGATATGTTAAAAGATTACGATCATCAATAACTCACTTTGTCTCGCTGCAAAGGTTCTGATGAAGGATATTGTTACCCCAGTCCAACAAGAAGAAGTAAAAGCTGTGATAAGGAACTGTTTGGAACAGGCAGCTCTGATCAACTATCAGCGTCTATCGGAGTATGCTAAACTAGAAGGTAGGTTATGACTCGGAAGTCCTCCAAAACATTGGAATTTTCACTTTACTCAGGCTAAAGGTTAGGGTCTGGGTGCTGACAGCATTTGGACTTGTGACTTTAGATTCAGTGTCCTCTGCTGCCTGTTAATCGGAATGCTTCAGATAAAGGTCTTGATCTTTCTCCAGAAAAAACTTTTCAGTATGTTAAATCTCCTTAAAAAAGCGTTGATTAATTAGGCATGCGCACCAAAGACGGTGCAAAAATCTAATGAATTTTATATCTCACTCAAGCAGCATTATATTTGCAGGGTGTAGTCTTTTTAGCTTACTTAATAGATCTATGAGCATACACCTCCCTGCCAAATGTCAAAGGCAATTTAAAACCAAAATCCAGTTTTAGCTGGAAAGATTGGTGTGTAAAAAAATAGTAAGGAAAGTAAGCCAAAATTCACAACTTCCTTTCAATTAGCAACACATCAAGAATATATGATACATTATTTTATATGTGAGTGATAATAGTTTAGTATATCAGATTAATAAGTAGTAACAACTGGATCTGCAGTGTCTCTATTCGTCAATCACATATGGCAGAGAGGAGAAAGTATACAGTTTAAGTGCTTTCTTGTTTATCACATTTCATGCTCCAACCTTACCCTTTAATCTTGCATTCCCTGCCCTATCTGTCCATCTTTTTGGTGCCCCCCACTAAACATCAGACGTTTGATAAATGTGAAGATCACATCTATTTTGCGTCTGTCGGTCGAAGGCCAGTTTTTAATTATTAAGCAACGTTCAAACAAAATGTACAATTTTTTTATGGAACCATGACCAACATTTGTTGGTCAACCTGTGGTCCAACATTTGAACGTAACTTTGAGGTCGTCATATTTGGCTTCAGCATAATCTGGTGCTTTTGAGTCTACAAATTCCCCTAAACTTAAACCGAGAATAGTAGCTGAAGGAAAACAAATGTCAGAAAAGACATAGGGTAAAAAAGCCAAAACAGGACAGACACAGAAGTTGAAAATAAAAAAAGCAACGCACACTTGCGGAAGTGGCATCAACTCAGCAACTGTGAGGTTACACGCTGTGTTAATAACATGTAACATGCTGATTTTGCTACACAAATACACTTTGAGTTCAGGCTTGTGCAGCTTTCAAGTTGTACATAAACTACAAATTTCCGGTTGTACTTTCTCACCATTTCTTCTGCTGCCGCAGAAAGACACTCGCATGTCCATCAATATTTGGCTGCAGTGCCATGGCATCCATTTACATTTTTGAAATTATGTTACCTTTACTGCTTGCAACTTTACTCTGGGCACTGCTATGACTCAATGTCCTCCCTCATTCTCTCTAGGGAAAAAGAGAGAGATGTACGAGCATCCCGTCTTTTGCTTGGCTTCACAAGTGATGGATTTAACCATTCGTGAGTACTTTCCTCATTACCCCCACATTACTGCACCCCTTATGTACCATTAAATGTTTCTCTTAATGCCAGTATGCACACTAACCATCACCAGTAATCTTTCAATATCTGACATCCTCCAGAAAATGCTGGGCATTTAGTCACCCCTGCCAAAAAACTGGAGGACACCATACGCTTGGCCGAGCTGGTGATGGAGGTTCTTCAGCAGAACGAGGAACACCATGCTGAGGTCAGTGTGTAAATCTACACGCCTGGATGTGTACTTGCTTACACACACACAGAAAACCTCATGAATGCATTTAATTCAAGGTATCTAAAAAGAGTTAGAATGAAATTAGCAAAGAGAGCACTGAAGAAACTGAAAATGAGGAACTAAACAGTCTGTAACTGGTATTTTAACTTGCAGTCTCAAATTAGTGTTCGGTTTCTTAGTTTTAATTTTCTTAAGCAGCTCTGTATCAATTTGAAAAAAGAAAAAACAAACAATTAAATAAAACGTATGCAAAACACTTACTGCCAAATAATTGCAGTTTGTGATTTCCCTAAAGCCTACCATTGGAACATTTCTATAACCTTTTCTGTGGTCATTGTAAAGTAAATGGAGACACACCGAAAAGCTACTTCAGCCAGGCAACTTGAACTGTTCCACTTTTCCATTTCAACCTACATGCCACTTATCAAATGCTCCAATTTGGTCATGTACATCTATGTCTTTTTAAGATGCAAAGCTTTTGCATTGTACTTCAACTTGCTGCTTTAAATACAAACACTTTAAACTCCACCTCAGCACCACGTGTAGGCTCAGGGAAGAATAAAGCAACAAAAACATTATTTTCATCACCTCAAAAACTAGTTGAGAAAAGCAGGTACGAGTGATAAACCCCAAATAAAAATCATAGTAATACATTTTTATAAAGCTTATCACATGATCGATTTGAATGAAATTAGGTTAAGGTTATATTGTTAAAGTGGCATGTATACAAATAGAGATCATTGTATGATTAAAAGTTTTACATCTACAAGGCATTCGTTTATATCACTGTATGGATTGCCACATAATATCATAGAATACCGTATTTGACTTACATCAACCAACGCTTAATGGTACATGTCTTCATTCACAGCATATGAGATTACCAGAAAACCTATGACAAGAGTAGGATGAGAGCTTTGATCCATTTAAAAAACAGTTTCTCTATACAGCATATTATTCTTATAGAATTGAGAGGTTTAGTACAAGAAAGAAAACTGAAAACAAAGGTGAGTTGACCTGAAGATTCTTATTCATTCCCTCCAAAACAAGGGATCCCATTGACAAATGCAATGCATTAAGATAGATCAATAAAAATGTGATGGTTGTAAGAGTATCTGCAAGTGAACAGTAAAATAACTACCATGAAATAATATTAATATTCAAATGTTTTTCAATACTTACTGTGGTTGTTTTCTAACCTGTAAAAAGCTATATCATTCTCCAAATGTAATCCAGAAGTCTTACTATAGCATGGTACAGTGTTTCTTTACCAAGCAAAATGCCTGTTAAGGTTGCATGGTTAAAAGCCTAGAATGTAGTTTTAAGCATACACTCTTTTATAGCCTTTTGAGGGAAGTTTCTAATTTGAATTTGAATTTTTAATTTGAGTGGAAGTTTAAAAAACAGAACTGACTGAATAGAATACTAAATGATTCTTTCCAACAACAAACATTTATATCTAAGAGCTACTTTAGTAAATGCATGAACTGCCATCTCTGCCCAGCCTCCTCCATGAAGCCTGTGGGCACGTGCACGTCACAATGCTGACAGCTGGATGTGAATGAGCAAACACCATGGAGCCTCTTAAGAGGCCCACGAGGAGTGGAGATGCATGGAAAAGTGTGTTTTTTATGTCTATGAGAATAACATGGTTGCAAACACTCCACAAATTGGATGGGGAAATATGAATGCAGCAAAGCTGGCGCGCTCCTTTCTGTGATCGACTCAGTTAACAGGCTGGAGGAGTGTTTAAGTAGCTCCCCGCCATGCCTGTCAGGAGGCTGCTGATGTTTCCTCTGTGGGCCAAAAGAAAGACTCTGTTTTCGTGCTTAAGCGCTGTCCTTTATTGAAGTTGAGAAGATCTCTTTCCAAGAAGTCATTAAGTTAAAAAGTGAGTTAACAACAAATTACAAATGACATCTCCTGCCTTAATTGTAGGATTTGAATAGTTTCAGTTTAAATGATTATTGCTTATTATCATTCCTCCTCTCCTAATTGTTTCTCTATCTCTGGCTGTCCTCTCCTGAAGGCGTTTGCCTGGTGGTCTGACCTGATGGTGGAGCATGCAGAGACCTTTCTTTGTCTTTACTCGGTGGACATGGATGCTGCCCTGGAAGTCCAGCCACCTGACAGCTGGGACAGTTTCCCTCTCTTTCAACTGCTTAATGACTTCCTGAGGATGGACCGTGAGTACAAAGTCACTGAAAGAAAAAAATATTTCTGGATTAAATAATATAATTGGGAATATTGTATAAACTTCAAGAGCTACTCCCCCTCACCAAGTGAAGACAAATACTGGCATTAAGAGCAATTATACTTTATGGTTGTGCATTAATGCTGCTAAAAAAGAGTGGAAATAACAAAAATTGGGTCTAATTGGAAACTGTGTATAAGTATGTTAAAAAATAAATGAAGATTTAACATTTCATATGACGGCCTGGCCAGTGTGTGCCTCTCGCCCGTTTTGAGGTGGGAAAGGCTCCAGCTCATCATATTCAATTGATTGCAAAGGCTTTTCTTTATATTCACATTTCTATATGTGACTCCAGCACAGCAATGGTGAGGATCAGAGGACTCATGCTTCAGATAGGGGTCAGCTGTCGGAGAACTGCTGGTCACACTTAGGGGGGGCTACTTGACTTGGATTGGCATGTGGTGCAGTGTCCTGGCACCAAACAACTTAGTTTTTATGTCACATATTTGCAACACTTTGTTGCTTTAACTTTAGCTCAGTGTTATGGTAGAAGGCTTTAGAATAAATGAGACTTAATTTCATATTTATTTACCTGCATAGGGTCAGGTGTACACTATTTCTTAGTGTACACGTTGCAATGGCCTCTATATTTGAGAGAGTAGTTTCACCAAGCATCACACTTCTGCATCTGTTTTCCCAGGTTAGACCTGCACACATTCTTAATGAGTTTTAGGCCCCCAGATCCCTTTGACAGATGTTTTATACGGTCTGGATCCAGAGTGTACTCCGCCTCTCAGGCTAGCTCTCAACAGTGTGTACAGGCATTGTGGTGCTTTCTTCAACGCAGAGCTGGCCTTTGCACTCAAGGAGACTTTTTCTGACAGACGGATACACAGAAAAACGTGGGTTCTGACTCTCTCCAACTTGAGGGGAAACATTGACTCCTTTTACAAAGATGATCAAACATCTGTTATGTTTTTTCCCATTCACAGCCAAGCTGCTGTGGGTACACTTCCTCTCTGTGCTACTTCTCATTGTTGCTGGTGACAGAAGATACAATGTTTTTGTCATCTGCATCTTTTGTGATAAAGTTGAGCTTGGAGATGCAGGAATTCCTCTGTGTAGCGGAGAGTTTCCGCACCAGTTACTTGGAGATGATGGTACTAAATCTTAGGTTCTCTGGCTTTTCCTAATGTTATCCTGTTTTTTTGTGTTTTTTAGGTTAGGATTTTCATTTGTATTGTGTTTCCGGTGTCTCTCTTCCTCAGTGCTAGTTTCTTGTCAGTTCAGGACCCTGCACCTTTGCTTCTTTGCTCACCTGCTCTTCATTCCACTTATCACTCTCCACATAAACCTCTCTGTTCAAATAATGTATTGTTGGATCTTTACCATTGCCATGTGGTACTGATGTCTGTATGTCATCTATCCCTGCCTGTTACCCTTCCTTCTCTGCTAGTGTCTCCAGCCTCCAAAACACAGTTCGTGTTTTGGTTTCTAGTGTTGTATTGTTGTAATAACCTCACTCTTCTAATTGCTCCTTGGTTTCTGTGTTCCTTCCTTGCCTTTCACCCAAGGAAAACTGTGGCACTAAATCAGAAAACTAAAGTTCTGCTGGCGTCACCTGTTGTTTCATAACTAATAGATCATGAATGTGTTTATTTTTTACTACAGCTAAGGTGCTAAAATCATCCATCCATCCATGATCTTTACCGCTTATTCCCTGATGGGGTTGCGGGGGGAACTGGAGCCTATCCCAGTGGTCAATGGGGAGAGGCAGGGTCACCCTGGACAGTCCCCAGTCCATCACAGGGACACACACAAGACATACAAGGAAAAAACAACCACACACACATTCACTCCTAAGGGCAATTTCCCCAATTTCCAACCAACCTAACATGCAGGTTTTTGGACTGTGGGAGGAAGCCGGAGAACCCGGAGAGAACCCACAGACACAGGAGAACATGCAGACTCCACCCAGAAAGGTCCTGGTTCCCCCGGGACTCCAACCCAGAACCCTCTGGTCCTGGTTCCCCAGGGACTCCAACCCAGAACCCTCTGGTCCTGTTCCCCAGGGACTCCAACCCAGAACCCTCTGGTCCTGGTTCCCCCGGGACTCCAACCCAGAACCCTCTTACTGGGAGGTGATGGTGCTAACCACCACACCACCGTGCCGCCCTACAATAGAATATTATATTGCTGAATTTCTTTTTTTGTTTATTTAATTTTATACTGCTAAACGTCTTAGTTTGACTTAAAAATCCACATCTTTTAAGTCTATGGGGAAGCAGCATCTCTTAGATTATTTGCTTGTATAGTCTCTGAGGGTCTTCCAGAGGTAGGGCAACCACTACAGTAGATGTGCAGTACAAATGTCTATGAGCAATGGCAGATGTATGCAACTAAGCCAAAAGACACTTCACTGCTAGTATTGCCTGTGCAATTACGGTTACTATCAACGTCTTATTGTCAGCTCTCTCTACGGACTGGTGTAACTATGTCCAGTGTTATGTACTTATATTGCTACGTTCACATAGCTGAAGCTGGCCAAATTGATGACACATATAAGTGCGTATAACAAGCTATTTACAGTTATGTGAGTTAGGCCAAATAAGTGGACTGTGCTCTGCTTTCTCCTTGACTCCCAAACAACAAGCTGAAAAGGGGAAACATTCCGGTGGGATAATTAGCACCCTGCAGATTGAGTCTACATCCTTTACAGACCACAGACAGCTCCATGATGTTCCTGCAGGCAAGTGCACTTCATTAGAGAGATGGCTGTCCTGCAGCAACCAACATCAAGACCTGCACATTTTCCCTTTTGAAAACACTCCTGGCTGTGTTCACAGATGTGTGTGTGTGTGTATAAGATTTGCTCTTGGCCACGACTACATCTCACATTGACAAAACTGATTATAAAGACAAATTGAGGGATATTTCAGAGTAATCTGTAGCTATATGTCTAACTCATACCAACAATAAAGATATATAAAACATTAATTTCTGTATTATATTGTATTGTAAAACAGAGATAAAAGAATTACTGAAAAATTTGCAACCCAAACTTAGATGCTCTAAAGGGAAACTGCTATAAAAAGTGTGGTCAAGTGTGGGGAAATGACATCATATTTCTATAACTGAGAACGGGAATGACGTAATGAAAATCTTACTTGGAGGGCTGCTGTTCTGAGATGAAAGATCATGGAATACTTAGTGCTTGTTACCAAGATCCAAGCAACACAGGTAGAGGTTAGCCAGATATCAGATCTTCATAGTATGACTTGGCAGTCAAACAGTTTGATGGATATACTGATTGCAGCATGTAATTCTGGTAGCTAATTCTTGTGCATAGTTTTTCAACTAAAATATAGAATAAATGAAGTAATCTTTTAAAAAAGTACAACCATCTATCCCTGAAGCATTGAGACAGCCAAACAACGATTATCCATCAATGTACACTAAACAAGCTAAACACAGGAACCAGGTGGTAATTTACCTATGTCCTTCACTAGAACAGGAAGTATAAAAGGGAAGTTATTCAAACTAATTAAACAAGTATGATAAAATAAATTAAACTTAAGCCCTGAAGAAAGTTTTGGCTTCTTCCTGATTTGCCATAGCCTATGTTACCTTTTGCAAAGTAGTCTGGCTGGGAGGTTCCATTTTTAAGTGATAGATGATTGTGACTTGGCTAATAAGGTGTTGACTGGATGAAATCTATATTACACAACTATTTATTTGTTCAGGGATCACAATTTCAAAGGGATTATTATCCCAGGAAGATACAGTGACATAGATGTGTGCACCATCATCAGAATTAGCCCGAATAATAGCAAAATTAGGCGTTAAATGTTGAGCAAAAATAGTCTTAGATTTGAACCCTGAGAAATTGCACAACTCCAGGTTATGAGTTGCTACTTATTTAGAATAACTGCTGGACTATCAAGATATACAATTTGTCTTACATCTTTGGCTTATACTCCTTCTTGGACAAGTACTCTGTGGAATTCCTAAAACACCAAACATGAACTTTGTTGACCTAAATTGTATGCTGCACGTGCTTTGTTGTACAGATTTTGGCCTATTTTTTTATGTAGTTCATTTAGTCAGTTTATTTTTCCTCATTTTAACCACACACTTAACCTATGAAGAACATCAAGAACAAAAACAAAATCAAGACAAGAACAAGACAAAAACCTAATATGCATAGTTAGCAGTGCATATCTTTTTTTTGCTCATCCCCCCATTGTTTCTGTTGTATTTCATTTTAAAATACGCGTCAACACCGTTTTTATATAAAGTTTTTAAAAGCCTGTTATACACATTATCAGATAATTGCTGAGTTAAGAGCACCATTGCTGCTTTATGTCACCATTTTTCATCCACAAGTATTATTGCCCAAAGTATTATTGTGTGATGCCGTGACCTCAAAGGATTGTGCTTTTTCATGCCACAAGTACTCAAGTACTGACATTAGAGCCAACAGATTATAATAGATGTTCTTAGAGTTATGGCAGAGACCTACTTTCCTCATGTGCACTGGTGGCCCGCTGTGTTGCTCCTCTGTAGCGCCGGCAGAAAGCTGCAGTATCAGATAGGTGACAAAGTAAGACTAGCATACACGGAGTTAATGAGATCTAATGTAGTGGGAGCTGGGCTATGGCGAGGCCTGCAAACACACTCCTGGATACAACACATTTAAATGGACAGCAGCCACTCAAGTGGCTAATTTGGAGAGTGGCAATCAGGGAACACAACAAACATTGCACCTACTGTGTATCATCGACCTTGACTCAGATGCCAGTGCACACAAACACAAACACATGCTCGGAGGGAGAGAGAAAAACAAAGGGAAGAGGAGGGAGAGAAAAAGCAGACACGCTGCATGGAGCTGTGAGGCATCACATTAGCACACACTGGCCTCCATTTTATCCCCTGTGGTCTTTGTCAGTGTTGCCTTTTTACCAGTTGGGAGCTGACAGGGACTGAGTGAAATGTGTGTGATAGATTGAATTTAGAAACACCCTAAGACTTTGACCTTTTGTTTTGCAAAAATTGAGAGGTGGATATGTTGTGTCTACTAATGAAAAGAACCAACCAAAAACCCTCCATCTTCTCTCTTGTCACACATTATTAACACCTTGATCAGAGCTTTCCCTTTTCTATTCATATTTATTTTGCAAATAAACAGTGTGTCTGTACAGCTACAAACACAAAGCGCTTGTGAATCCTACACTGTGTTGATATCTGTAGCATAAACAGCAGCGTAAGCTCTGTCAAATGTGTGAGACAAGTTCAATGAAAACCTGAAGTGAAAATGTTCCTGTGTTCATTATTTGATTTATCACATGTATAACTGAAACAACTTGAAACTTCTAATCAGCTGATACATTTTCTCTTAGCGTGTTTGATGTCAAATCCACGTCTAACTGATTATTCACCCTGCCCCATTCAGGGAACATGTGCAATGGGAAGTTCCACAAACACCTGCAAGACCTGTACGCTCCACTGGTGGTGAGATACGTGGACCTCATGGAGTCATCCATCGCCCAGTCCATTCACAGAGGCTTTGAAAGGGAAACGTGGGAACCCGTTAAGTAAGTGTGCCATCAATTTTTTATTTTTTTTATCATTAACATCATTAACCTCTGCTTTCTCGTAAGAGACGGATGTGCAGCATTTACACATATCATTTAGCTTTATCCAACATTGTAATGATTCAAATAACTTTTTAGAGCTAAGACATATGGCAGGGATTGTGATTTACTACTGAACTACTACTACTGAACCTCATTTAGTTCACTTCAATCTCATCACACAATCTGAAGAGTAACCAGAATTTGTTGACTCTTCATGGCTATTTAATGAACATTTAAATACAAGCAAGACAGTTTGGTGAACTATATATGAGCACATAGGAAATAAACACATAGACAGACAAAGTCAGGAAAGTGGAGAAATTAGTGCTAGATCTTAATTTGAGTTACTGTAGAAGGTTAGAAATTAATGTAGGTCCCATGGAGAGCCCGCTACCCAGACTGGCTACAATAGGCATCCCTTATTCTCATACATTCAAAGTTATTTAAAGTTTTAATACTTTTTGCTCACATTTTATAAAACGTGTATATTTTTATTCTCATAATGGCTGCTTTCACTGAGGAGAGCAGCTCCAGTGTGCACCATGGTAATGGCTTGAAGAAACCTAAAGAACTAGATCAACTGCAAAAACACACAAAATGCATTTAGTCTGTATAGTCAAACTGCCTTAATATATAGTGAAGATTGGGTCAAGTCATGCCAAGGCAAATCACACTGTTTCTCCTGAATCTATGGTTTGGAACCTCAGGTAGGGCTCCTCCTCTCCCAAAGTGTGCAAAAAGATTTTTCAAAGAGGCTGAGCATTTTGTGACTGCACTAGTTTTGCCTGTCCACTTATACATGCAGTGCCCTCCACAATTATTGGCACCCCTGTTTAATTCTACTAATTCTCCTTTTTGAACAACATAGCATGCAAAAAAAAGACAAATCCAGCCTTCTATTTAAGTACATAACTTTGGTGGTAAAAATAAAATCACACCGTTAGAAAATAAAAAACATGAAATCATGATGTTAATACTCTGTACAACCCCTTCTGCCAACAAGACAGCACTCGATCTCCTTCTAAAACATTTCACCAGATTGGAGAACACAGAGAGAGGGGTCTCTAAACATTCTTCTGTGCACAATCTTTCTCCATCAGCCAGTGTCCTGGCTCCTCTCATGCTCTCTCCTCTTTAGCCCCCCCACAGGTTTTAGACTGGGTTGAGGTCTGGGGATTGAGATGGCCATGGGAGGACTTTGAGTTTGTGACTACTGAACCATTTCTGTGTAGATTTTGCCATGTTTTGGATCATTATCCTGCTGACCAATGACGACCCACCTCCAGCTTTCTGCCGGAGGCCATCAGGTTTTAATTTCAAATGTCCTGGTGTTTCAAAGCCTTCATAAAGCCCCCCACCCTAACGAGGTCCCGGGGCCTTTGGGAGAGAAACAGGCCCACAGCATCACAGATCCTCCACCGTACCTCACCGTGGGCATGAGGGGCTTTTCGGCATACTCATTTTTTGTTTTACGCCAGACACACTTAGAGGGTTTGCTGCCAAAAAGATCAATCCTGGTCTCATGTGACCAAACTACACAATCCCAGCTGAACTCCAGAGGTTTGTGTCTGTGAGTGTTAGTGGGAGAAGGCTTTTTCATTACATGTCTTCCATACAGCCCGTCGGCATGTAGAGAGCGTCTGGAGGTTGTTTTGGAGACTTTGTGACCCCGATATTCCACTCTTTGATGCAATTCTGTGACAGTGAGCTTAGGACTTGTGTTTCTTCTTCTCCTACCGTCCTCCTGACTGTGCGCTGTGGTAAGATGAAGTTGGGAACTCTTCCAGCCTGGTTTGTCACTGTTCCAGCTGTTTGAAACTTCTTAAGGACTGCTCTGACTGTAGATACGGGCACGTTAAGGCGAGTGTTTATTTTCTTGTAGCCATTGCTTGACTTATGAAGGTGGACACACATCTGCATTACTTGAATGGTGTATGCTTTTGTCTTGGCCATGTTGACAAATGGGTCAGAGAATTAGGCCTCTGTGTGATGACATGTATACATGGAAACAGAAAGTCATGAGTTACTAATTAAAAGTTCCTAGATATCATAACTAACTTCAGCAACTACAGAACAATATATTGAAAGGAAATCAATAACATTTTTCAGTGGAATTGTTAGGGTTGCCAATAATTGTGGGACACATGATTTCACATTTTTTAATTTCTAAATGTGTGATTCCGCCAAAGTAATGTACTTAAATAAAAGGTTTGACATGATGGTGATTAATTTAGTATGTAAAGGTCTATCTGAAGATAAGAATTATTCAAATCACTTTATCGATAAATGAACAATAAAATGTTTTGCTAGAATTGATTCATGTTTACCAAACATCTCAGTGTGTAAAGTCACTGAATTCAAAATTGATCATTGCAAAATCATGTAAATGTGTGTGGAGTAATCCATTCCATGTGGTATTTGTAAAATGAACTGATAGAGCCTCTTATTATTATTATGTAATTTTAACATCAGCATGTTTATCAGCATGTTTATTTTTACCCAGGTACCAAAACAGAGCATAATTTGTGTCTGGTTTCACATTGAGCTGTTCTGAACAATATACAAACTAAATTGTTCTAAAATAATAACTTTTTTTTGTTCAATAGTAATGGCTCTGGGACATCAGAAGACCTCTTCTGGAAGCTTGATGCTCTACAGACCTTCATAAAAGATCTGCACTGGCCGGAAGAAGAGTTTTGCAAACACCTGGAGACTCGACTGAAGCTTATGTCCAGCGACATGATAGAATCTTGTGTAAAACGGTAAAATGTTTGTCTAGAAATAAATGATATTTTTCTCATCACTAGCAATTTGATTTAATTTAGATTAATTAAATTGAGTGCATTTGAGCAATACTTTATTTTCCCAGAGGTAAATTATGTCAACTTTTATTTCAGACAAAAAAAATATTTAACTAAATTATTTTTTTGTGACACTAAAATTTTTAATGTTTGTTTTTTGTGAATAGCAAAAAATCATTCAAAAATAAAGTATGTCAAGCTGGTTTTAAAGTTAAACTAGTCTGTAAAATACTGCGAAAATACTCTTAGTTTAGTAGTCTTCCAACGCATGACTTTTTACATGTGATGTGAAACGAATTTAGCAAAAACATAAAAAGCATCTTATATTCCTTGTAAATGGGTTGTTCTGGCCACTGACCATTCTTGTTATTCTTGTTTTCTGTAAGAAAACCATTGCAGACTTCAGTCTCACCTTAAAAAATTCCAAAATTGAAATTGTGAATATGTTTTTTGACAGGTATGCACCATTTGTAGAAATATATATATATATTACATCTAGGTATTGTTTTTGTTTTGTTCATCATATGGGACAATTGGGGTGTGTAGACATAGTTCTAAAGGATCTGACATTGGCTATTGTATGTTGTGTGTTTGCTGAAGGACTCGGGTAGCGTTTGAGGTAAAGCTTCAGAGAGGCAGCAGAGCTACAGACTTCCGCGTCCCACAGTCCGTGTGCACCATGTTTAACGTGATGGTGGATGCTAAGGCCCAGTCAGCCAAACTCTGTGCCGTGGACGTTGGGCAAGAGGTGGGAAACATTTAATTTTTTCATGAACTACTTAGACTTTGTTCCATGGCACATTGCCATGATATAAACTATACAACTAAAGTTAAAGATCTTGTGTTTCACTGACAAAAACACAATCTGAATCCCCTTCTGTTTTGTAAAAGGAAAAGTTTTGAGTTTTGTATTTTTCTTTAACCACTGATTGAACACAATTAAACACCATAATTAAATTTGAAACAAATTAGTTACTCTTTATATTTACTATCATAACTACAAATTTAAGCACAAAATGACAATAAAAATGTAAACTTCTAAATGTTTCCCTACACATTTCATTTGGCAGTTGTAAAAGGACAAAGGAGTAACACAGAGAACACGTGAACGACAAAAGTTAAAATATTGACTTGCAGCACATATTGTGTTGTAACCAAACCCCAAATTATGGCCTTGTTCTACTGTAATGTCCAGTTCAATTATATTATTTTTTTCTAGCAAAATTCAGATTGTAAAACTAGGTTTTTGCCACATTTTTTGAATGAGATTATACTGAATTCATCCTGTTACCTTGGTCTGCCCTAGCTATTGTAAAACCATTCCCTTTTTGGAGTCAGGTTTAAAACCCTGTCTTATTCAGTTAATGGACAGTTATAAATCTAACTATGACATTTGTCAGCAGGTGCCACAGTGCAGTGCTTTTTGGGATATTGTTACTTAGGCGTGAATAAGTACATTTTCAAAGAGAAGTCATTTTATGGTAGACAAACTCTATGAAATACCAATACCACACTAACAGAAATTTAAAAATGCTCACTAAATTCGATTTAAATAAATTTACATCTACACATTTTAAGATATTGTCTTGTGTGTGATGTTTGTGTTTCTGTCTTTGCAATCAAAGGTCAACTTAGTTAGCCCTGATGAAAGCTAGTTTGTTTAAGTGTAGACATACCACGGTTTTCAGTTTTTTTCTGACTTCAGTCAATACTTTGAGTACTAGTGAAAACTGGGAATAAAGTTACAAAAACAAAGACCTCTCTATATGGAGACATAATAAAAAATAGGAAAATGTCGTAACCAAATACCACTGCATAAAATTGTTACATATTTTCGACAATTAAACAGCATCAATATCCAATCATATATGCTTGTTATATTCTTGTTCTATTTTGATGATTACACTGTGAGGTAGTCAAAGATATGTTCCTTTTACTAATTCTGTATCCAACGTGTATTTATGTTCAGAATAAGCAACACGTGATTTAGATTTAAACTATGCCACACCCTATATCTGAAAAAATTCATCCAGTTACATTTAGAACTCTTTCTGCCAAAGACTGAACTGTGGTGTGATGCTGCACAGCTCATTTCTAGATATTTTGTCATTGACATTTTTGTTTTTTAGTTATGGTTTAATCATTGGAGAAGATGTGATAAAGGACACTCTGCTTCAAAACATTGCAGATGAATGTATATGATCTGGTCAATGTTAACATAGAAAAAATCTAGTGTTCTCACTAAAAGAAAAAAAATGTCAATGAAACGATCAACATCTTTTTCCTCTCATCTTTTGCAGAGACAATACCACTCCCAAATCGACAGTCTAATTGAGGAAACAGTGAAGGAGATGACAACTCTTCTGGTTGCAAAGGTATGAAAAAGTAAAATCTGTAAAACACACATAAAAGTGCTAACCTTTGGAAGAGGGAAGAGATTTTGTTTAAAGATCAGTTAAAGTTATTTTTGACTTAAGCCTTAAAATACCTTGAATATGAACATAGAGCAAGTGCAATAAAACATAAAAAAGTAAAGGCAGAAATTCCAAATAACCAAAGAAAAAACAGCAGTAAATTGACTTAAAAAGGAAATGCATAGAGTCAAAATGAACACAAACTAACTGTTTCCTTTATTGAGACTCAAAAGTGTATGTGTATGAAAATGACTGGACATTTGTAAAACATCAAAAGTGCAATTGAAAAGCAATTATGTTGACTGGGCTATTTACGTATCTTTTTTTATATGATTTAATGTGCTTGATCAAGTCCCAGTAAGCAAAGTCATGTAAGGCAAATCAACAACCAACTCTCAATTATTGTCAAATTTATCTTACTTTAAGTTTTTTGTATGAAAAAGGAATAAATAAATATCCAGAATTTGTGGCCAATAACACACAACATCATGTGACTATCGCCTTCATTTTAGTTCTTCTCAGTGGTTTGGACTTAGGATAGTTGTTTTTCTTAACTGAATCTGGATTCAGGACCATGACAGTCAGTCTGCTCTTCTTGATGCTCCTGTCAGGTTGAGAAAACAAACGATACTGTGAAAGCATTTGATAATACGAATTAAGTTAGGTTTTAACTGCATTTCAGAAAACATTTTAGCTTAATTGAATATGTAGTTTGTGCTCACCCAGCTTTCCCCCCCCAGTTTGTTGTCATTCTAGAGAATGTATTATCCAAGATCTCCAGATATGATGAAGGAACCCTCTTCTCCTCCTTCCTTTCTTTCACAGTAAGTCGGAGTTTTTAGATTTCGGAATTTAAATGACCATTTTTATCTTTTATTAAAAATGCTTTCCTTCAGAACACTAACTTGTTTCAGTAATGAGGAACTTTCCAGTCATATGACATTGGGTTTTTCTCAGTGACTGAATTTAATCAAATAATTAACACACACCCATTTTGGGTTTGGGTTTGTGACCAATTTCACTAATGCAATCACTGACATTTAATATAAGTGGTAACAGTGGACAGTATACTATATAAGAATCATTTTTACTTATTGCACAATAATAAATTATAAATACTAAGAAATTATTTCAGTTTTATTCCTATTTATTTAAATAGCAAGATAAAGACGTCAGATTTCTTGGTTCAGGCAGTGTTAATAAAAAGAGAAAAAATAGAAAATTAATATTTTGCCAATTTCACCCACTTCTCTCTCTTTCATGCAAAGGTGAAGGCTGCCTCAAAGTATGTGGATGTGCCTGTAAGTATCAACCCTTCTGTTTTTGTGTACACACAAACAACCTACTCCGATGTGATTTGAGTAGTGGCAAATAATTGTGTGTGTTAACATGAATAAAAGTAAAATGTCAGATTCCAAAAGACTCATTTGATTGATCTGCCCTCCAATGACCAAAGGAAATGCATATTTCCACATCAAGAGCCATTCAAATAAAATGAAGACATTACTCACCACACTGCGAACTAACACCATTATGCACGCTACGACTGCACGTTTCAGCTAGACCTACGCCTGAACAGGATGTAAACAACTTTTACCTCTTGTTCCAGACCTCCCAGATGAGGTCATTCATCTGTTGGGGAAACAGGGTCTCTCTAGAAGTCCATGGCTTCTTTGTCAGAGAGATATTTCCCCTGCTCCACATAAGGCAGCCGATCGCCCAAATTCCTTCCAAATCTTTAAGGGGGAGATGTCCCCCTCTCTATTTCTGCATGTACAAACCTAAGAAACCTTTTCTTCTAGGTGGAAACTCGAAACACTTTCTCCCCTATATCTCACTCAAAGAGAAAAAAAGCAAACTTATATCCCTGATGGCTGTTGTTTATGGCTATAACTATAGCTTAGGAGTGTGATCCATATATCCATAGTGCAATTTTATTATATTACAGTGGAAAGTTGCCTCCTGTGGTTGCTCTTTCTGCACTCAAAGCTGGATGTTTTGTACTTTTATCAAAGGTTTTCCTTTGATTCTTGTGCACATAGAACACTTGACCATCATGATCTAGATGGCAATTGGTGTCACGTGTTTCCTTCTCAAATTTCTGTTCATTTGCATGTGGCCAGATACTGACTGCCAGTCATGCCTGCTGCCATGTTCTCTGTGCAAAATACATTGTGACTCCTTGTTGTACAACACATGCCCATTCTGCTGTCAGGTTGGCACTGGTGATGTTTGGATTTGTATGTCTGAGCAGCAGATCTCCATTAGCTGCCAACACTTCGGCCATAGAAACATGTCAAATTTCAAATTAATGCCTTGTCAATTAATGTGAAGAGGCACTACATATGCTGGCAGGGGTCACAGTTTCTGGCAAAGCATCTTGTGTGTCCTCAGTGCAAAAAAAAATTGAGTTACACTGGATAAAAAGGCACTAATTTGCCCATTTGAAGCGTAGCATCAATACAGATCTGTTTTCTTAGTTTTGCAGTAGTTGATCAAACAGGCAACTTAATACAATGGTTCCTTTCTTTTATAGAGAGAGCCTTGCATTATTTTGTGAATGCTTAAGTTAAGTATATGGATGTAATGCATTTCAGAACCTGAAGTGAGAAAACACAGGTCCAACTCATTGACAACTCAGTCCTTACAAACAAAAAACTAAGTCCTCTTTTACACACTTCTAAACAGCTCTAGTGCTTTCATATACAAATGAAATAGACTTATGTAGTTTTTGTCGGAATAAAGCGAAATTTGGACACTAGATAGTAATGAATGCATAAATGAATGGATTGGTCTCGAGTTTGTTTTCCACAAATGTTTCATTGTCTCCAGAGACAATGAGAAATTAATCTGAGTTGAGCTGATTGTCAACACTATCATAGTTGTCATACTTAATAGATTCAATGTTAACTATTTAGAGGCTAAGGTTTTGTGCACATTACATTTCTGCATACTGGTGAAGAAGAACATGTAAACTTAATACAGACAGGACACCCTCTTGCTTTGAAGTGACAGTGCTAACCACCAAATGGCTCTGCCATTGAAGTCATTTGATCAGGATCCTAATCATTCTCATACCGTCATAATCCATTCAAATAATACAACCTACCATCCATTTTGAATACCCATTTAATGCAGTCTGGGTGGCAGTGAGGCTTGAGCTGCACCGAGGCTGAGTGGGCGTCCATCACAGGGCCATCTGCAGCAGCAAACGGTTTGGGCTGGCTACCGCAGGTAACGGTCAGCGCAGGACAGGGTGCAGAGCTGGTGTCCAGGTCTTGAAAGGCGTCTGTCATTGGTCTGCGGTCATGAAAACCGTGTGGCCGGGCGGGGGACTTTGGGGCCACTGTCTGGGGGTGTGGTCCCTGGTGCGGTGGCTAACTCCAGCATGGGTTGGGTGCTGCCTGTCCGCCGGGGGATGCGACCCTCCCCATGTGTGGGGGGGTCAGGTTGCCTTGGGCGTGCCACGATGGGGTGTTGGTGGGGTGGCTATGCCCCTTTGGCCCCTTGGGGCCCTCTGACGTGTCCCAGTGACCGGTGGTGGGGCAGTGCTCTTCACTGGGGCGGGGGCTGTGTGGACGGGCCTGGGGAACCACGGGTGCGTGCACTTTAAAAAAAAAAGTATTTCTATCTCAAAGGGCCCTTTGGGGGTGGCGAGCGGGGGCCCTGTGGCTGCAGGGCCCAGATTTGGTAGATATTGGGTCATCCTGTGGTGTTGTAGGGCCCAGGGAACAGTGGTGCCCAATGCAGCCTGGGCATGGCTGCCCCCCATGTGGGTTCCATCCCTTTTGGCTTTGGTCCTCTTAGTCCTCGCCCCTCTGGCTGCAGAACACAAAGCACCGCAGCACACGCGGGCTCTCAGCGGATATCTGGGCTGGATCTGTGGTGTGCAGTTAAAGGAGCCACCTAGGTTGTCCTCTTCTCTACCCCCACGGCCCCCTCAACCCAGGTTTTAATGGCATTTTAGACATTACTACCTATCATACCCACACTCTGGGGTAGGCCCAGGGGGTGCTTATGCTGAGTGCTGTCGGATGGCCAGAGCTCTTCAGGTGGGTGGGACTGTTTAAGGAGTCTTGCTCCACGACTTTGCAAGGCCAACTACCCCTCGATTTGAAATCCTCATCAGACACAGAGGACTTCTGCCCATCAGGGATAAAGTAGTCCTCATGTCACACATAGAGCCAGAGGGCGCGGGGAGAGGTCTTCCTGCTCCCTGGTTGCTGGCAGTTTCCTGGTGCCAGGAGGTCCTGGGGGGTTAAGTATCTCTGCTGTGATGGAGTCTGTGGTGCAGGCTGCTGCTGACCCCGAAGGTGCCCACCACTCCACACCTGCAGGGGGAAGTTTTTATCTTTCTATTTGATTGATTGATTGATTGATTGATTGATTGATTGGTTTATCTTTTTCTATTCTTTGTTTCTTTTTTTGGGGGGGTGCTACTTGAAGTGTGTGATGCGTGTGTGGGTCATTGTACTTTTCCTTTGCTATTGTTTTTTAAATATACACTTTCATTGAAGTTTTTACCTAATTCTATCTTTTTTTATACTTTTTATTTATTTATTTCCCTTTTTTTTAATCAATTTTGTGGGTGTGTGTGTCTGATTGGAGTGACTGCAGCTTGGGTTGGGTCTTGTTCTTGATTTGCTGTCCTCTGGCCCTCCGTTTTTCCCGGTTGTGTTGTTCCTGGTTGTGTCATTCCCGGCTGTATTGTTCCTGGTTGTGTTGTTCCCGGTTGTGTTGTTCCCGGCTGTGTCGTTCCCGGTTGTGTTGTTCCCGGTTGTGTTGTTCCTGGTTGTGTTGTTCCCGGCTGTGTTGTTCCCGGTTGTGTTGTTCCCGGCTGTGTTCCCGGTTGTGTTGTTCCCGGCTGTGTCATTCCCGGTTGTGTTGTTCCCGGTTGTGTTGTTCCCGGCTGTGTTGTTCCCGGTTGTGTTGTTCCCGGTTGTGTTGATCCCGGTTGTGTTGTTCCCGGTTGTGTTGTTCCCGGTTGTGTTGTTCCTGGTTGTGTTGTTCCCGGCTGTGTTGTTCCTGGTTGTGTTGTTCCTGGTTGTGTTGTTCCCGGTTGTGTAGTGGGCGTGGTCCTGCTCACCTGTGGGCTCGCCAGGGCTCCAGGAGCACTGGGTCAGTGGGATTGGGATTGCTCTCTGCATTTGGCTGTGTGTGTGTCTGTTTATGCGCACACACACAGTCACACACAGTACACAGTCATGTAAGCAGACACACCGGACAGTTGCTGCACTATTGTGAGATGCTTGTCAATGTTCTGACTACTAGTGTTGTTGCTGCCTGTGGCTTTTGTTGCTTGTTTTTTGTCTTCCCTGTGTCTGTTTGCTCGTGATCCTATCTGGACCAAGCATTCAGACAGTTGGTAGAGAGGGCTGTAACTCCAGAATCCAGCCTAAGACTTAGAACTGACATCCTCGGCTACCACAGAGTATGGTATTCCCACATTGAGGAATATTTATCAAGTCTTAACCAGTCAGTATGACCCTCTGGGATTTATCCTACCCCACACTACTGGAGACTGTTGTGTTGATGTGAATCAACACAGCATCAACAGTCCTGGCCAGAGTTCCCCACCCTTGTGTTGGTGGTTTGGTAGTTTGATTGTTTGTGCTCAGCAGCTCAGTGAATGGACTGCTGATGGCTGCCACTGTGTTGGTCAAGATCACTTTGTTGGGGACATTGGTCAGCTGTGAGTTTGGTGGCCAGAGGAACAGTTTCTGCGAGTCAGTGGCATTCTGGGCTTGAAATGATAAAATTCCCTTTTGCAGCAGTGGTACCTCATAAGAAAAACATAATAAAGACTGGAGACTCACTAGATCAAAATAAGTTTTTTGTTTTGTGTTATGTACTTCCGGTGGCTCTTAGTTATCATCCAAAGGAAATTGTAGGGCCATGGATGACAAATGAAGGAGTGAGAAAATTCGGTGGATAAAGGATGAAGACTATCCAGATAAAAGATCATGGTGGAACAGAGAGACTCTGTGGCAACATCAGATTTCAAGGATGAAAATGTGCTGGAGGGTGGAAGTGCGGAGGTAGTAAGAGTCTCTGCTGTGGCTGTGCTGAAAACAGCCTGAAAGCAGGCGCTTTGGTAGGCCCACGGTGAACCGACGGAAAAAGTGTTCAGAAACATTACGATTAAAGTGAAGATGAGGTGGAGGTCTCTGCCAACCGCGTGAGCTGAGGGACTCAAGACCCATTAGAGCCTGAAGGAGGGCAGAGATAAGAAAACTGCAAAGTTAGAATTATCTAAGTGCGGGCTGACCCACTTGGATAGTCTCCTTTGGATTAAATACAGAAGCTATAGAAGAAAAGCCTGTAAACTACTGACAACTGGAGGTGTAATGGCTGAAACTCCGTCTTTTTCATTTTAATATCTTGAACAATGACAGAGAGACACAGCTGATATCAAACATACGTTTGAGGGAAGAAAAAGGAACTTAAGAATTAATCTACCTACTTCTTCTATTTCTCAGTTTTTAGCATTCAGTTTGAGCAGGTCTGGACTGTTAGTCCAAATGATTTCAACATTAGAGTCTTTAAAGAGCATAATGAATAGTTCTATGAAAGCCAGGAGAAAGTTATACTGTTTAGTGGATCTCCTCTAATCTTATTTCTCCCACATGTCTGATTCTCCCCTAATTTACTACAGATAAAAGGCTGTAGCATCCAAAATAATGGATGTTTAGGATTGTTTTCTGCTCATCTCAGCAGGCAAATAAATGCTTTCCAATGCCCACAACTGCTTGCTGCTCTTACCGAGGTTTGTTGTGATCTACCAGATTCAGAGATCCCAATATAATAAAGAAAGACCATTCAGCTCAGACAACAGATTCTTTTATTTTTTCTGCATGCTTTCATATGGGAAGCTCGAGAACATCTTTATAATTGAATTCTATTAAACATATTTTGTGTATGCATTAAATGCAAATGCATAATGCAAGGGGAAATAATTTGATATTCAAGCTTCAGTAAGAATGGAAAAAACATATCTCACCACTGAAACTGTATACATTTTCAAGATCAGTAATACAAAATTCTGTTTTGCGGAAAGGATCTTAATATCTCCATCATGGAAAAATAATTCTAAATGTAACAAGTAACAGTACTATCCCTCAATTTTTTGCACCCGAAACATTCAACACTTTTAGCACCGGAGTTTTGTTGATTGGGATGCAAAGAAATTCAATGAGAGCATTGTGATTTTAAACAGACTAACAATGTGTTTTTTCCCATCATATTAAAAGTGGATAATAATAATAATATGGGCATTGTCGGATAAAATGGTTGGCAAAGTATTTCAAATTATTTTCAAACAGTTTTTTCACTATTTTGTATTCATATAAAATGGAGCATGAATGTGACTTGAATCTTGTTAGTGTGGTTGTGTCCTCAGTGACTGTGATTTACTTTATTATCTTTCCTTGGCCTTATGTTTTTCCAAGGTAATCAACCAAAAAAACAAAACACAGAAAGTAAACTGTTAATAAAACTGTAACTATTATTTTATTTTATTTTTTGGATAATTTGATTGTGAAAACTAAATATGGAAATACAGCAATAAACACTTCAGACTCATCTGGCAGAAACCTGAAAAAATTAATATTAGTTATTCAGCAGCCATATTTTTTATTCTGCCTTATCATCTGCAAATAAGACATAGGTATTTATATTTATATGTATTTACAGTAAATAGTGGTTAAACCATTTTTTTTTAAAGTTAAATTAAAAAAGACATACTGCATACTGTAGGTTTATATCTGACTGGGTTATCCCATTTTCTCTTCTTTAAACAGAGACCGGGGATGGATGTTGCCGACTGCTATGTGACATTTGTTCGTCATTCCCAGGATATGTTGCGGGAAAAAGTCAACGAGGAGATGTACATAGAAAGACTGTTTGATGTAAGTAAGCCACAGCGCCTCTATCCTATCTAGATGATCTAAACACTGTGTCATTTACTCACACTGAAATGCACACAATTGTGGTTCTTCTTCGGTTCTTCGCAAAAATGTGAATGTCAACTTCAATTGAAGTTTACACATACAGTATAAACACATTTACATGCACACAGACCAAAAAAAGAAAATGGACCATGAATTGCTCCCAAAAAATTGTCATGGCCTGGTATATGGCAGGATCGGTGTCTTAACCAAGATAGAGGACCCAAATTTTATGCACATTTAACTGTTAGGCATAATAATGTGTTTTCTGGTTTGCATACAATATTCATTTCTGTTATCCATCTTAGCTTTAATATTATTATAATTGTAATATTATAATGTTATTATGTTAATATTATTTCAATTCCATAAATCATGTTCTAAAAGTGTTACAACATTATGTGTTGTCGACTGCTATGTCTGTTTTGGTTAGTACTGTAGGTTGATACCAGTCTGCATTGGTCATACTCCAGCCTGATCATTTGGACACTTGTCCTCGGCTTTATCGGTTAAAAGACTGCTGCATTGGTGGTCAGTAGTGATGATCTTAATGCTAATGTAGGACTACCATTTTTGGCCATGATCAATCATAACATCAATTTGCAGTTTACTAATTCATTCACATTGGTAATTGATTAGGGAGAGTCCAGAACTGCACAATGCCATTGGTTTTTACGTCACTTTGTGATTTGGACTGTAATTACACAACAGCTGACGAACTGTATCCCACTCGAAATGTAATCAACTTGAAAAACACAGAGATTACAAGTCTTTCAAATATAACCATTTCATTCAATACCCTTTCCTCGTAGGTTTCTGAAACATTTTTCTGTGCTCTTTCGGATGCTGCGATCCTTGAAATGCGGGCTTTTTTTATTTTTTGCAACAGGAAAGTTGTAATCAAACTGATCGCACACAAATTGTCATGGGAAGTTTGCACCCATATCATAAGGGTTTTATTCTTATTTTCTTTACTGAAGGAAACACTTAACCACCCTTCTACTTATAGATTAGACAGAGACTGCAGACAGAAATGGAAGTGAAAGAAGATGACAAAACTTGTAAACAACATAAGGTGTCACTCTGGATCAGGGTGTCGGAACCAGTTGAGCTCCAGGCTGTGAGTTCCTGCCCATGGTGTAAACTTAGAAAACTGCATGCACAGTCATCAGAGAAGTTACGGTCAAGTTTTAAAGTCATCATGTCAAGCAACTGATGGTGAAGTCTTGAGATTTCTACACAACAATTTGTCTTTTAGATTTGATTTTTGAACATGCTGGTGGAAGATGTAAAAAATCTAAAGTTATTGGTAGTCATGCTGTCAAACCAGATAAAAAAAAGCTTTCAGCTTTTTACCAATTTTAACCCTTAACTTTCTGATGAAAGTCAAATCACCAAAATATACTGTGATATGCCATTGGGAAAATGCTTCCTTTATAGACTGAAAACATGTATGAGGGTGATGCAAACGTCAGTCCAAATTATCAGGATTTTAGACAACATACTAAAGTATAAATTATACAGTTATGTCAGGAAGTGAAGAAAAATGACTGTCCTCAGAAAGAAGCATGTCTGCACTTCCGGCCAAATCTAAATATTTATCCCCAGTGGGGACAGTGTAGAAATGGTGGGAAGTACAGAAAGCGAAAGAATAGTAGAAAGGGTAGGGAAGTAGGGAAGTACAATATAGGAGAAGCTTTCTGAAGAGCTTTCTGAAGAGGAAGTGACATTCCATCTCCATGGGAGGTAGGGAAAAACAGCTTTTTAAGATTGCGCAGATTTTAGGTGACTACATTCTTTTCATATATATATATATATATATATATATGCATATGTTTCGTATTACGTATAAGTCTTGCTTTAAACACTAGAAATACATTTCTATTTTAGTTTCCCAACGAGGTACCTCCTTTTTCTTGAGATGACAAGATTAAGATCTTAAATCATTGAGTTGGTCTCAGTGGAATGAAAAAGTGGTGTGATAAAGAGATTACAATTCAAATCATACCAAGTGTTTAAGTCCTTTCATCATATTTTATTTCACACATTCATACAAAATCTAAAGATGAGCAACAACTTGTCTTTGGTTTTGTCAGAAAAAGCTCAATTAAAAGATGAAAACTGATTGGATCAAATGTAGCTAAAGAGAACACAAAATGATGGAAAATGTTGACTTTAAAAACAAAACATTTAACATGTTTAGCTGAGAGATATCTCAGCTCATACATACATTCAGACCTAAGATTTGGGTGCATGTGCTTTCAATGGGGTTTATGATATGTATTTATCTAATGAGTAACGCAGATTGTTAGTACAGTAGCCTCTTAATTGTTTATATACACGTCAACTGCTAATATGTTTGTCGTACATCAAACAGGGCCACATTTAAACGTATGGGCCTTGAAAAATCCTCTTTTGAGAAATGCATTGTTAAGGCATTAGTTGTGATGAGGTGAGGGATGGGGCGTGGGGGTGAATCAGATTTGCTCTTATGTCATTTCACGTACCATAATCCTGACCAGAAATCCTATCAGGGAATGTCTGGGTATTATTCATTCATTTATTTTATTTTTTTGCCGTGTTAGAAATGGTTATGATTGTAGGTGTCATCATGATGAGATTCTAAATCGCCTTGGGGCCATGGGGAATCACTCCATACAGAGATTTTCTTCCAAAGTGTGGTTTCAAAAGATCATAGAAAATGTCATTGCTGTCAAAATGAAAGAACAATCACTGATTAACCTATTCTCTTTTTTCATCCATTAACTAATTCTTAAAAAATAAATCTGATTCAAGCTTGCCCATCAATGTACACTCACTCATATGGCTTATGTTTAGGATCAGCCAAATGCATGTTTTGGGGTAGTGGATCCCAGAAAACTCCTGGCCACAATGACAATAAAAAAGATAAATGTCCAATGGAGGTTCTATTTAAAAACTTTTCCTTCCATTGCTATTCAACCTCGAAAGATTCACATAGAAAAATGGCAATTCGAGAGATCTATTGATAAATTATATAGTTATTTGGGGCTCGGACCCTGGCAGAAGATGTGGAAACTGATCTTGAATAACCATTGTAGGATTAGGTTTAGAGATGTCTTCTCCCGGGACCCGGACACTGGTGATGGAGTGGAGGCCAGCGGAGAAGGAGGCCTGAAGGAGCTTGAGGGCATAAAGGAAGAGATGGGGTGGAGGAGGGTCGAAGCTCTGCTGGACGCAGTAGTAGCAGTAGTAGTCCCTGGATGGAGGACTTTAAAAGCAGCACCTGACAGGATGATTGAGGGATGGGGTCTTGACATGGATTGGATGGAGCAGAGGCGCATGATGAGGTAATTGGATGCAGCTTCATAACCAATATTGTGTCTACAGAAAGAGTAAGAAGAGTTACAAGGAAGCTCCCCTAGCACTCTGAACCTATAGCAACATAGCTATGAGATGTTTTTTAAGTCTTATTTTGGCCCTTTAATAAGTTTAATAAGTGACCCTGTTTAGTTTTTTTTTCAGTGCGGGCTCAGTGAGGGCTAACTGAGGGCTGGTTCCACAGAGAGGGGCCTAATAACTGAAGGTTCTGCTTCCCAGTCTACACGCTAGTTTTCCTGCATTGCTCTGTGACAGGATGTTCCTGTTTTTGGCAATGTTACAAAAGTAAGAAAGAGTAGTAAAAAAAACAATAAATTACTGTGCAAGTCAAATGAAAGATCTTGATAGAAAATTCTTTACTGTAATATAAGCCAAGGTAATGCCATTAATTAATGGAAATTAATAGTATATAGTATATGGCCTGTAGTATATATCTAGACACAGATAATTATAGGTTAATGTCATCAGCAAAGCATTGTAAACTTATTTAATACTCCCCATTGATGTTTCCTAACAAGAGGCTGCATTATGAATACGCCCAAGCAGATAATGGAAACCTCCGTGGACTTACCCGTCCTTTGTATATACAGATTCCTCACTTATGAGGAGAAGTCAGATCATTGCAGAGGTCATTTTACACCAAATAAGAACACATTTATAAATGAAAAGAATTATTTAAGATAATAAAATACATAAAATACTACACAATGCCCCTTTATAACCCAAGTCGTAAATAACCTGTCAAAAATCTAATTAAAAAATAAACATCGATCAAGGCCTGTATGGAAATGCATTGATAAGGGGAATGCCACTCTGCCTCCACCATTGTTTTTATATGTGACTTTGATATATACATTTATTCTGTTCCCTCCACTGGTATTTTTAATAAATACAAAAGTTGTCTAATGACAGTAGGGCTTTATGTCACCTTGTGCTTACTACCCTCAGACAGCACTGCACATGAGGAGGAATAAACTAATTACAGATCACACACAGCAGTGTTACAAAGCTTGCCTTGGCACTGTCTGCCAAATATAACATTGTCCAACATTTACCACTGGGATGAGTAACAGTGGCCTAGAGCTGCCCACCGCTGCTTTTGAAGATACTACTGTTGTATTAGCTCAGGGAGTTTGATTGGAATAAAGAGAAACCAGTTACTGAAAATTATTCTAAACTTTAGAAGAATCAAATCATGTATCATCATTTGTAATACTAAGAAGAATTGCACGAATTTCTCTGATAGAAGCAATTTTGTTTGGTGAAATAGCTGATGAAATAATTACTACTGGGATTTAAGGAATTTGTGGCTCCACAGTGCTTAGACTGTTTGTCAGCCTGGAAACAGAGCTTAAAGAAACCTGGTAATGTTCTTCCAACCAACAACACTGTATTTCAATCCTCCGCCAGTAATGTTTTCACATCAGCAAGCAACTAGCATGATAAATTAGAAATTTGCACCCCGATTTCCTTTAAAAATTCCAGGAGTCTCTTGCAAAACAGCTGAAGTAATCTACGTGGAAAATACCAACCCGTTGGTTTTAAAAAATATATCTGTCTGACCATACAGTCTTAAACCTGTTGGTGTTATTCCTTAAGCTAGGTTTTGATAAGTGATCTCACCCTTCCCATTA